AAATGATCTAATTTTTTAGATACTAACATTTGGGGTGAAAACTGCTGATATTTAATGAGATATTTTCCTCTGCTTAGGGTTTGTGTTCGTTCTCGTTGTTGGGATGCCTGCATGGTTGTGGATGGAGGAACTTCTTTTGAGTTCAATGATGGAGCAATTGCTTCCATGATGATCAACAAAGAAGATGAGCTTCGAACTGTACTTCTAGAACAGTGAAAGATTTCCTCAAGTGACAAACTTGGATTATTGGAAACTGATTTTTACTGCAGAAATAGTCGTGAGGCCAGTCATTAAGCCTATTTTATTATTGGGACTGGTTGCCCTCTGGGCTCACAGTGATGAAGAAGGTGGGATTTTCATTACTCTTTTGTTGGATTCTGATAGATGAAAGATGTTCATTGTGTGAGAACATTGGATGGACTAAATGGAGTGGAATTGATGTCAGAGAAATTCTGTATTATTTGTAATTGGTAACCAAGAATATTGATATCTTTAAATTTTGAGAGGTGAGTTTAAATAAAAGATTAAATGTTTAGGACTTGAGATTTAACTATAAGAGTGTTTTTGTCTTCCTAGACAGTGGAATGGGACATAACTATCATTTGATTAGTGCATTATTTTTTATAATACCTAAAAGTAAAGTTTTTAAAGTTTTTGATTATCATGCCAAGTTTTGATAAATTCTGACATTGACCTAATTAAAGTAGGAAAATGTTTTTGTATGTGCTAAAATTTTCTAATACCAGGACATAATGATAACTATTGATTAAAACATTTTAATCATTTTTGAAATTATTTATAGATGAAGACTTTGATTCTGGCTAATTTCAATAACGCTGTATGAAATACATCTATTGAGTCAAATCATGATGCTTTTATAAATGTATTATCCCTTTGCTATTTTAGAACAATTTTTTGAGAAATTACTTAAGAGGCCCCTTCCATCTTTGCAACTGTAACATTGATTTAGGTACTAAAAGGATGAATTGATGAAATGTTTTCTATTAGGAATGTGGTAAAATCTTTAAGAAGTATTCTTATTACTATTAGGAGTACTGTCAAAAAGAATGGATTCTTAGGGAATGCATGCAACATTAATTTTGGAATTGACTTATTCAGTAATGTAGTTCTCATATTTCAAAATTTGCACAGTAGCTTTGTAGGATAAAATGTCATGGCTTGTCTTTTTTTCTTTTTCCATTATGAGAACTTTGATTTTGGAGGATATTTTTATTTAATTCTTGACTTACAATAAGTAACTAGTTTTCAGGAAAAGTTTCTATTTCTGAGTAACGAAATGATATTTTTATGCCATTTATTCAGTTGTTTATTCACTTGCTGGTGAGTGTTTTAGTGTTCATGACAAGTATTTATTGAACACTCACCCTGTGCCATACATCACTGTGTCAGGTGCTCGGTACACCAATGAATGACACCATCCTAATAGACTGTGAGCCAAAGAGCTCAGAAATCAAATTTTGTGACGCTAGGATGCATAGTCAAATTGAGTGTTCTTAGTTTTTTCATCATTAACATGTTTCTCTTACCACTATTTAAAAAATATTAATTTGAAAAGGTATTCTAGATTTTGATGGATATCTGGAAGAATGTTTTTCTTAAGTACTTGCATAGACCCTTAAGGCAAATAATTTACATGATGCATGAAATGAAAATAAAATAAAAATTAGTGTTTTCCTAGGGCTGGATCTAATTTCCTAGGGCTGGATCTAATTTCTGTTGTAGTTTTTGAAAAATAATACATGTAAGATTACCCAGAAGAATCTTACAAGTATTAACATGAGACAGAACAAATAATTTTTTATACATTAGATGGAAATAAAAATTAGTGTTTCTTCCGGGGTTGGATTTAATTTGTAGCTTGATTAAAAAAAAAAGATGTATAATATCATTTTGTGAAAAATTTAAATTACACACTATCCCCAGTATCTCAAGGAAATCTGTCCATATGCTACCATAGATCTGTTAATATGTAAGTTATTAATAGGTAGCTTGCTGTGTGAAATTGGTTATAAGCCATATTCTTAAAGGTTATTACAAATACTTATGCTCTATTTGTGACATAACTTCTGCTCCCTGGTATAGATTTGTTTGTAAGAGATGAGACAAAAAGGATGTTACAATAGCAAAAATGTCTTTTATGAATGGGTTAACCTTTCAATGACAACTGTGAATAAAATTAAACAATTGCTTTTTTTAACTACATATTTTTATTTCCTTAACTCTTAAGGGATCGTTGTTTGATAATCATTTTTTTTTAAAGAAATGCGTGTCTCAGAAATTCTTTTCCCCATGGTTATTTATGTGTTGTTCCCTATAGATATCATTGTGTGTACTGGAGTTTGAACTCAAGACCTCATGTTTGCTTGGCTGGTGACTCCAACATTTTTTTTTTTTTTGCTAGAGATAAGGCCTTTTCTGACTGGTCTGGCCTAAACTCTAAACCTTCTGATCTCAGCCTCCTAAGTAGCAAGGATGTCAAGTATGACCCATCAGCAGCCAGTCACTGATAACATTTGACATTGACTGATGATTTGTTATTTTATCAAAGATCAAAAGTATTTATCTGAAAATGTTTCCAGGTAATACTGGTTTAATATCTTTGATGTTATATATTAAATATATTTGTGGATTCAGTACATTTAATCATATTTCCTGTTTTTCTAAATGTATTATCAAATTACATTGATTCCATTTTTAATCTTTGACAGTACTTGTAAAATATTTACTTTATTGAATGTGTTAAATACAAACTGAAGGATACATAGTGCTCAGCTGAGATGTTGATGCAAATTTAGAACTTCACTGTTCTATGCACATACATATATGTATACATGTGTGTATATGAAGTATACATATTTATCTCCATCCTCAGAGATAACAAGACAGTTGTGCAAAGTATCCCAAGAATAACATCATATGATGAAATATAGACACAACAGTGGTAAGGATAAGAGCATATGTACTGCTGAACTGAAGAGTATGAATTCACTATACTCCTAGCCCTTGAGTTTGAGAGCAGTCTAGGCTATGTAATGAGATCCTATCTCAAAACAGCAGAAAATGTTCAATTAATTTTTTAAAGACAGTTTGTTTTTTTAAATTTTAAACATACTTATAAGGGTCTAAAGGGCCTAAATCAGAAAGATGATTAAGTTTAGCACATTTTCATGTTACTAGTTTTAAGCAATTAAGGAAACAATTGCCTAGACAAGAAGCGAAACATAAATAGAAAATATTTTGTTAATTTGGATCTTTTTAATTCTAAAAATTATAAAGATACTTTGCTATTCATTTTTGGAAATACAAAATTAACCAGCATTTTAATATTTGGATTCAGTGAAATAGAAAACCTCAATTATTAAAGTGAAACAGAATCTAAATAAGTTTAGTCTAGACCTGACCTGTATCTTGGGAGGGAGGGAGTTTGTCTCTTCGTTGACTTCTGGGGATGTGTAACTTAGATGGGGAGGAGAGAATGGTAAGAGAAGAGGTTGATTTTCCACTTCTTCTGGGGTTAGGGTACGCAATGACAACAGGTTTCTTTGTTTGGCCAGTCCCAGACTGCTTGGCTTTCCTCATCTGCATCTTTCTCTGTGCTATTATTCAGTTATTATCTTCCCCATCATAGTAGTTTGCCAGTAAGTTCAGCTCACAGGAATGGAAGAGACTTAATCCCATGAATTTATCCAGAAACAAAAGAGTTTGGCATTTGGCTAGTGTCCATCCCATCTCTGGAACTTGTAAGTAGGATAGAGGAGGGTGAAGAATCAAGGGAACAAAGGCAGTAAAATGATACCAGTGAAACAAGAAAGGAGATTGATGCTATTGATCTTTTCAAATGTTACAAGTTCTGCTGGGGGACAAAAATTACCCTCAGCCAAGAGCTTTTGGATGTTCTATCTAACTGCTAGTTTATGACCTGAGGTGACAGATTAACACGTTAAGCATTGTCTAGTAATCAGACCAGCAAAACCCAGACTATGGAATACAAGACCAATAACCAATAAATGGATTGCAGAGAATGAAAAGGGAAACCAAAAGTGAAGATTTACAGCTGTCAGGGATCTGTAAATCCCTTACACATACGTGGACCACATTAGGAACCTGATAAAAACAAATGAGTATAATTTTTGGAAGCACTTTAAGAGGTGGTAATTACATTTAGTACCTCCTTAAAATGTATTATTATAAACTATCATTTTCACTTGACTACAGGCATATGAAGTATACAGGATGGTGCTTAGAATTCTATCTTGAAAGGTCTTATTTGGAGACCTCTGAGCCAAATGGCAACCCCCACTGAATACTTTCTAATTTTCACTGAGTAAGAAAAAATGAGAAGGGAAAAAAGGACAGGACTTTAGTCAAGTACTTATTTTTGTAAAAACATGTTTTATTTTATTAAAACGTCTATAAAAGTAGAAATAACCATATAAAAATACAGATTACTCCAATGTGTTGGCAAATAGCTTATGACTGGACTTGAGTTTAGAAGTACAGGTACTGTGTATTTCCAGGACACCTGGAAGTTAGGAGTCCACCTGGACTTGTCACTAATCTGTAAACAATAATTTCAAGTATTTAGCACTTTTTAATTACTAATAGATGCATAGTAATTTTCTGTGTAAAACTTTTTAAATGTTCTTTAAATCTGAGCAGATAATGGCACTTCATACTATTGTTTGAAACATTAAAATTGATTTAAAAGAAGTTGATAGAAATGTTTTGGCATTAGAACATATGAGATCAATGATTTACAAAACTAGTTTTATTATGATTTTCAGAAAACATAATTAGGTCTTTTTGCTACTGTGCACTAGGTTTCTTAAAAAAAAAATCCATCCTACTGAATGGTTCAACACCTGAGTCTTAAAATCTTATGCAGGTGCAGAATGCTCAGAAACTGGGCAAAACATGTACCTGCCTCTAGTGTGCATTCATGACATAAAGAACAAGAAGTTCTTAAGAATTTTAGGTCCAGTAACCTGATGAGTAGTTTCAAGCAATTACTGTGAAAACGAATTTAAAATACTTGATTCTAGAATAATACAAAAACAATTTTAGCATTAAAAGAAAACAGCAGACAATATCAATTCAGAATCTTCCGTCCAACTTGAAGACTAGGTAAGATACTGATTAGGATAAAACCACCTTTCTAAAATAAAGCAAGTCATCTTAAAAATTATGTTAAAATAATTGGATAATAAAATTAGAAAACCACAAGGATTTTTTCTTACCTAATTGGAATTCTAGAAACATAGCACCTTAAACATAAAGAGGTAATACCAGACTGACCTCCCTTCAAAAACTACCTCTTGAGCCTTCAGTTCTCTACCAATTCTATTCTTCTGGCCATTTATTTATTTGCTTTTATTTTAGAATTTGAAGTGAATTATAAGGGGCTCTTTCTGTGAAATTAATTTCAAATGAAATCCCCAGAAAAGATCTGCCTTAAATACTACTATCTTATGAACCCTTTTTTTCCCTTGTCAACTAACAAAATACAGTTTATTATTCTTCCTTGCCATGTTGTACTAAGCAATACTGAAAAGTAGGCAAAAGTTACTACTAAGACTATGAAAATTAGCTGGTGGAAAATTTGAAGTTTCATCCTAAGTAGACTTAACCACAAGGGTACTTAACAAGTCAGGTCAAATTTCACTTTTTAATAAGGTTACTTTAAAATCAAAGGCTCACTCTTCCAAAACTCCCAAAGCCTTATAACTTTAGGCTCTTCTGGGCATAGAACTGACAGAAGCTTAAAAGTAACACTTTATAGTTGTCCCTTTTAAATGACCCTTTAAACACCTAAGGAAGAAGGCTAAGGGAAAACCAGTAACAAAACCAGCCAAATGTTCCAGCAATTGGCTTCCTGCCTATGTTCCCATTCCAAAGAAATGCGAGGTACTACCCTGCAATAGCACTTCATGGACAACTGGGCTTTGTCAGGGCCAATCGACACTTGATACCCCATATCTCCTGGTTCTTTTGGCTGGCAACAGTAGGCCTGGCGATGGTGGTGAAGTAGGCACAATTAATCTGCAGGTGAGGAAGGGCTTCCCGTAACAGTTGAAGGGTATCATCTGGCACAATTCCGAAAACTTGTAGTGTTTTTAATGTGGGAATTTCTCCAAGTTCACTGGAAAAGGAAAAAAAGGAGACTTTGAGTATCTAAGTCAGGAAATTGCTTGAGTAGTCTAGTGTTCACAATCTGTTCCAAAGCCATGTAACCTGAGGAAACAACTTGTGATAAATGATTTGACGAAATAGCAAACATTAAACATGGATGCAGAAGCCTTTAAGCTAGACCCACACTGCAATCAGAAACACCTCTGCATTTCAATGCTGAGGCTTCCAACACGTTAGAACTCACTGGAACACTTACTAAAACCTAACTGTATTGGCTTCTCTTTTCCCAACTCTGTATGTACATAGCAATCTGACAAGTTTACTGTGTTTTGGGCTAGGAAAGCTAGTGATGGTAAATGTTTTGTTGCTATGAGTTGTAAATACTACCTATTATGTACAATTTAAGGATGTAAACATCACCTTTATTTGCAGGCTCTTGCTCATCAGAAGTTGACAGGGTTATTTTCTTAATGGTGGTTCACAGTTAACAAGTCTATTATGGCTAATGAAACCTGTCAGTGACATCACTAAGATTTTGTGAGTGTGTGTGTGTGTGTGTGTGTCTGTGTGTGTGCTGGTCTTAACTTGAACTGAGGGCCTGGGCCCTGTCCCGGAGCTTTCGTGCTCCAGCCTAGTACTTTACCATTTCAATCACAGCTCCACTTCTGGTTTTTAGTAATTGGGGATAATAGTCTCATGAACTTTCCTTCCTCCATTCTCAGCTCTCAGCCTCCTGAGTAGGTAGGATTATAGGCTTGAGCCACAGGCGCTCAGCAACTTTGCTAAGATATTTTAGATAGGGTGATGTAGCTGGGTACAACCAGAAAAAGGGGTGACCCATCATTCACACACTCTCATCTCTCTACACACTACCATGTTTCCCTTGTCAGACAGACCAGCCATCGTCTTAGGTATTCTGATTCATAAAAACAACGAACAACTCCCTCCCAACAAAAACCTATAGCCTGCTTCTCTCAAGTCAATACTTGTTGACTTTGCCAACAGTAGGCCCAGAAACTCATGTCTTCTGTATTTGCTCCAGGTTGGGACACACAGTACAAAGTCTTAGGAAGGGGAACATTTATTTGAAATTTCAACAAAATCCAGCTGCAGATCAATGAACACCTCAATGGTCTAGAGTCAGAAGCAACCTTTCTATTTTAACACTGTCAATAATTATTCAAGGAAACTAGGCTTGTAAGTGCTACTTAGCCACCAACTGGTCTTCTTTCCAGCCTGTTCCATATATGAACATCAAAGGTATTTTCCTAAAGAAAGCCTGCGTACATGCTTTCTCTACTTATGGAACCCACTGTTCGGGGGGCCTAAAACCTATGCTGAACCTTAACCTCCCATCTTCCCACTACCCCTCTAAGTGTGTTACTCTACATTCCATAATATCTTAACTACTACAGATGTTTAATATATGTTAGTGGAATACAAGATGAAGAGTAATTTAGAAAAACACTACTCAAATAAATTTGCTTATTCAGAATGGGGCAGTAATTGCTGGAGGGCAAAATAAATGGAAGAAAATGAATTGGAACAGGTTGCAGTTATTCGTTTCTGTATTGTAGAAGCAGTATAAAAGAAAAGCAATGATCCATGCAGTTTATCCTTTTTTTGGGGGCCAGTTCTGGGGCTTGAACTCAGGGCCTGGGCACTGTCCCTAAGCTTCCTTTTCTCAAGGCTAGTGCTCTACCACTTGAGACCCAGTGCCACATGTATGTTAGACAAGCACTCTACCACTACGCCACATTCCCAGCCAGCAGTTTATACTTATTACCACTTTAGATGAGAGCAAGCCTGTTCCAATCTCAAGCTCTCAAGCCTTCTTATGTGAAATCTGAGTGTATGAGAATCTTGAAATACCTAGGAGGATCCTGGTTCCAGGATATCCAAAGCAGCCAAGTTGTAAGTCATGCTTCAGTGGGGAGTATTCAAAAGAAGCTTTGAGTGGGAGTAAGAAAAGGAGGGGATATGGCAGATGACAGAGGAGGAAATATTCTTGCAACAGCTTTGGGAAGGAAATCACATGTCACTCTCCCAAGTTACATGTGACAAGGGAGCTGCAGAGAAAGGGCTGATGGGTCAAGAACCAGAAAGTCTTCAGATTTTAAGATTAAAAAAACCCCTGCCTCTTAGTATGTATCTATGACAGAAAAATTTACAAACATCTCTGATGTTACAAGATACTGGAAATCAAATGAAAGGATACAAAACAGGAACGAAGTATTTTCAGACCTTTCTAGCTTAAGAACTCTAAAATGATACTGACAAATGTCTTCAGATTTTTTTTTTCCAGTTTAGTAAACAAAGCATGTTTATATAAGAGGCTGAAATGGGGGGATTACAAATTTGAGGCCAGCTGGGCTTCAAAGGAACAAATGAAACACCCCCTGCACCCAAAAGACATTTGTAAACACTCAGGTTTACTCCTCATTTCATCTACATAAGCCTGTCTTCCTGAAATACAAAATCTAAAATGCCTTAACTACATATTCTAACAGGAATTTTTAAGTCTCTCCTTATCTTCTATCAGTTTACTCTCTCTAGCTTGGGTTTCTTACTTTAATGAGAAAGAGGGTATAATTAGAAAAAAGTTTAGACACACAAAATAAGATTAAAGAAGAGAATACAACAATGGAGGAATAATCTATAGTTTTATTTTAAAACAATACTATTAAAGCAAAAAGACATTCATTCAGATTTTACTATCATTCTTCTGAGATAAGAAATATCCTTCTATAGCATAAGATGGCTAGTTTGCTAGGAATTATTACTAAGGCTCTTTGGAAGTTTTTTTTTAAATTTTTTAAATTTTTATTTTTGGTCTGGTTGTGGAGCCTGAACTCTAGGCCTGGGCGCTGTCCCTCAGCTCTTCAGCTCAAGGTTAGCGCTCTACCACTTGAGCCACAGCGCCACTTCCTGATTTTTTCTTTTTTGCTTATGTGGTACTGAGGAATTGAACCCAGGGCCTCATGCATGCAAGGCAAGCACTCTACCACTGAGCCACCTTCCCTGCCCTGGAAGTTTTATTATGAATTTCAAATACATCAGCTTCCAGAATGATGCAAAGGAATCTGAGATACTTCTGGATAGGGTGCCAACAAACTTATGTAAAAAGTTTAAAGTATAAATCATGACAGTATTTATATGGTGTCTAAAGAAATACTCTTAAAGTTCAAAGAGAGCATATTTTTGCTCTCTATTCTGAGGTTTTGATATGCTTAAACCCTTAATAGTTGTTTTTCTTTTATCAAAGGTAGATTTAGAAAATGAGAGATAATGTTGTAGACAGGACACTCAGGCCTATGTCTTCATCATTCTTCACCATCAGTTCACACTGGCTGTGGGATTACTAGCAGGCATTCCATGTGTATTCTTGTATCTAGTAATACAAGAATAAAATGCAAGAGCACACAGCCTTCCCTTTGCCTCTGGCTAGAGGAAAAGCATTTGGTCTATCACCTGTTAAGCTTCATTCTGAAGCCAAGGAACAAAACAAGACATATGGACAGATCTGTTGAGAAAAAAGAAAAGAATTATCTCCACTTCCTAGGGGACAGCCTAGATTCTAGGCAGAGGAAAGACACCTTTTTGAGTAAAGCTAAAAGCTCTGAATACTAGAAAAGACAGGCAGGAATTGTAAGAATTCCATGAATACAAACCTAGATCCCAGCACTTCAGAGTTATGCAAGTAAATTATAGTATCCTTTATAGGAAACAATTTGAGATACTTAGGTCCTCCTGAGATTAACTGAAATTAATTATGATTAATTATGCCAGACTTCCTAATTCTTCTAGTTAATTTGTGCATATAAGTATCTGATTTATTCACTAATTGGTTGAAACTATAAGATCCAAGCCATTGATTTGAAGACTGGACACATTCGTTGTCATCATGTTTCTTGGGTAAGAAGCTGAAGCTAAATGACTGTCATGTGATAGTGCTGAGCATAGCAGCCTCACTTGAGCAGACTGACCCTAATAGGTAGGGCACTTGATTAAAAGACACTGACCTCTTGTGGTTTTCAATGGAATTGCTCTGCATTTAGCATTAGAAAATAATGTCATGGCCCTTAGGGATTAAGGAAAGTCTTATTTTTATAAAGAGATGATGATAGACTCACCATCAATCCTGGATGAATCATCTTACTTTTTAGGACCCAATATACTATATCTACTCATAGAAGGCTTTGATTCTTCATCCTCCTTGACGACCAGGAAATTCCTCACTCCATTACAGAACTTTTTCTCTAAGCACAGATGAAAGCTTTTGAAATCACTTACAGTTAATTGAAAAATTTGGAAAACCAAAGCAAACCCAAACACTTGGGTTCTGTGTTCACAATGACACTCATGAGGACTTTCTTCTACTACTAGTGTGAGTCTTTTGCAGAGGCTAATACAGCAATCTAATGATGTAATGCTGGCAGTAAAATAATAAATGCTTAATGACGTTGCCATTCCAGTCTCAGTTTACCCAACATTTCAAGCAAAACTGCCATGGTCTTGTATTTAGCTACTTTCTTATCCAGTTTGTGACACATTAATACTAACATCTGCATTACAAACGTCTGCTATTAATAATAATGGCTTTTAACACTACGTAGTAGTTTTGCTGGTCTTTGCCCTCTTATTAGCATGATAATGTAACATACTTACAGTAGAGTTTCAGGTATGATATCATAGCACCGACTAAGTGAGAGGTGTTGGAGGTAGTGGAGATGGAAAAATTCTGGAAAGCAGTCAGTCTTCAGCATGATACTATCACTGTAAAAGAACAGAAGAGATTTAGACCCACTTGTCCTTCCTTGATGGAGAATACTACTGTTTTAACTCCTCCCGTTCAAAATTAAGATCTTTCCCCCATTTAATGAGCAATCATAAAATTTCAACATTTGATATGAACTTAATAAAAAAATAATACCTTAAGTCTAGGTGAACAAGGTTGGGGCATCTTCTAATTAAGGTACAAAGATCTAGGAAAACAAATGTGATGGTCACTATCAAATGAAGAACAAGACAAGAATATCTGCTGTTAAGAACATCTTTTAACACAGTGCCGAAAGTCTGGACAAGGGCAGTTAGAGATGAAATTATTAGAAAAAGCCAAAGTGATCAGAAGGGCACACAAAATTTCCTACATAGAAAATTTAAGAGATCTCATGAAAACCTATTGGAAATGCTAAAAGAATTGTGTAAAATGGTTAACAAATTACAGCTTATTTATGTATCAGTGAATGACTGAAAGAATAAAGAAAGTGGGGAAGGATCATTCCTAATAGCAAAAAGCAAAAGCTAACACTATATAGACTTGACTCTTCAAATCAGTGAAAGAAATTCTGGATTACTAAAAATCAATGCAGTATACCATGACAGGAAAATGATTTCTCTAATGCAAATAATATATCCCAATAAATTCTAGATATATTGAAAAAGCTCTAATGCAAAAATACAAGTCAACCCAAGCTACTAAGTAATCAGAAAAATCAATTAATAAAAGTTACTTATTTGAAATGAGGCAAATTTTACTGATGCTGTTGACATCCATCCATCCATCCATCCATCTACCTACCTACCTACCTACCTACCTACCTACCTACCTACCTACCTACCTACCTACCAAGTGATCTATCCATCTCCTAGTCCCTCTTGGGGGACTTGCTTTTTTTCCAAGTGTCTCCTCAACATTCCTACTTGGATGTACAACAGACATTCCAATTTATGTCTAAAAGCAAACATCCAGCCTCTCCCCTAATTTCATCCCTTCCCTGAAGTCTTTCTCACCTAACTTCCCACATCCAATCTGTCACAAAATCTTTTTTATATTGGCTTTAAAATGTGTTTAACATTCAACCATTTCTTAGCACCTACAAAGCTACCACCCTCATTTCCTAACTGTCCTCTCCACTTTCATTCCTGACATTGTTTTCTCAACTTGGTACTAGAGTGAGCCTTTCACAAGGTAAGTCTGATCACATCGATTAGTTCAGAGTATTCCATGGCTTCTGTCTGGGCTCAGAGCCCATGGCTGTCTCCTCTTTCCCTTGCCTCTTCCATATCAAAGGCCACTAGACTTGTGGCCCTTGGTTGCAAAATGTTCTTTTACAAGTCCCTGTGGATTTCTCCTCCAATCAGGCTTCTGCTTCAGTCTCTTGGACCATTCCTTCCATGTAAGAGTAGTCCCTTCTAGCCCACTGTGCTGATGTTTCCTCCTTGAATTTGCAATGCCTTCCATAATGCTTAGAAAGTCTGCTCACTGCTGATTTGTTTTGCTTTTTGTTTCATGTACTTTTTATAATGACTGTATAATACTAAACTCAGATTTAAAGCAATGTTTAAAAGGAAAATAAAATTAAGTAGGGGTAGGGAGGGAGTAAAATATGATTAAAGCTTATACAGACCTCTACAGAACATGTTTCCCTAGTTTCACTAAGCAGACATTTGAATGGCAGTGCAAAGCTGAGTTCTTGCATAGGCAATGAATGGCTCCAATCTCTGGCCATTCATTCAAGTCTAGCTATTGTTTATTAAAGCCTAATGTATCTTATCAGAGGACAAACCAAGCCCCAGTTTTTACATACTAGTTAAATGTTGAGAAATATTGGTAAATATTGATTCAAACTTCTAACCATAATAAAAGCTTAAACATGAACACATCGACACTCAAATGAGCTAGTACCACCAGGAACATGGGATTGATATAAGTCACCATATTACATAGGGTTTTTTTTGGTACTGCCTAGGCTGAATATAAGTGGAGATTATAAAGTTTTGTTTTGCCTGGTCATGCTTGAACTTGGCGTGGGAGCTGTCCCTGAGCTGCTTTTGCTCAAGGCTAGTGGTCTATCAGTTGTACCACAATGCCACTTCCAGCTTTTTTTTGTAATATTGGAGATAAGAGTCTCATGGACTTTCCTGCCTGGGCTGGCTGAGATCCTTAGATCTCAGCCTCCTGAGTAGTGAGGATTATATACGTGAGCAACCAGTGCCTGCCATAAAGTTGTTTTAAAAACAAAAAACTGAACTTTTCTATTTGCAGTCACTTATCTTTGTAAATCAGATTCTCTCAGTGTTACATCAATGTGTGTAAAGACTGGAACTGCTACCTATCCCAGGTTTCAAATGCCTGTGTCCATGGAAGAAACATCACTGCCTTTGCAGACAGAATTCAGTTATTTGCAGACAGAATTCAGTTATAAATACAAACTTATGAACAGGGCTCTATCAGGGCTTCTCAACCTTGACCCTGGCACCGACATCTGGGGCCAGATTCCTTGTTACTCCGCTGCAACCCACTAGATGTCAGCAGTTCCCTGACAGCTGTGACCACAACTCTCTCCAGACATTATTTTAGGTCCCCTTGCAGGAAAAACTGTCCCCAGTTGAGAACCACACACCAAATAAAATCACCCTTTTCATCCAAGGGGGATTGGCTTTAGACCCCTGTAGATACAGAAAACCAGGATGCTCACGGCCCTTACATTAAATTGGGTAGTGCTTTCTGGTTTATAATCTCTACATACCCTCCTGTATGCTTGAAGTCATCTTTAGATTACTTTTAGTGTCTCAAGATGTAAATACTATTTAAGAATTTGCATACTATATTGTTTAGGAAATAATGCCAAGAAAAAATGTACTTGTTCAGAATAGATACTATTGTTTTCCGGAACATTACTGACCTGCTGTTGGTTGAATCCATGGATGAAGGAAAGGCAATATGTTTTCATATTGGAGTTTTGCCTAGTAATTTAGTTGATTTAAAGTAATTCTTTACCTACAAATTTTAGGCAAATATTTTAAAGTATAGTTTTATTTCCTTGCTTCCTTCTTCCCTTACCTTTGTTCCATTATTATTATTTTTCTTTTGTAGTACTAGGGTTTGAACGCATAGCCTGTGCTTCCAATGTTGGTATTTTAAGTTCTCTAACAATGACTCCAACACTCCTGTATTTTTTTTTCCTTTTCTGTCAGGAAAAAAAGTCCTATCTTATAATCCTCTGATGGCATCTCAATTAGTTAGTGTTATAGATGTACACTATCACATATGGTTTGTTAAAATGGGAGGTATCTCCTTAATATTTTGCCCATGCAGGATTGAAACCATGATCTTCCTAATCTCCACTTTCTAGGATGACAGGTGTGAGCCATCCGCTTGATTTGATTTCACCCTCTTGACTCCAGCTCACAAACTGTTTACCTTTATTCTTCTGATCAACAGTTCCTCAGCTGTAAAATGGAAGTAACACGTACACTGAACTAAATAAAACAACGTATATAGAAGAGAACTATGCTCAATCCATCAGATGTGTGATTACACTTCAAATTCCATCCGCTGAGGCCCAGGAGTTCTACCTGATTTCTGGAGATTCTTTCGATAGCCACTAAGATTCAGCTGGGTGACAGTCTTTGACACATGTGCCACAGCCACTTGCACGTGCTTTTCAGTAAACTCAAAGCACCAGGAGAGGTTCAGTTCATCCAGTCTGCACAAAAGAGTAGTAAGGAAAACATGAGCCCATCCATCATACAAGGAGTTTGCCTTACATTGTGGGTGGAGGTGTGGGGTGGGGGGAGACTACAAAGATCCAGGAATTCCTTATCATTACATGAACCACATCTCTGTTCTAAGGTTCTCACTTCCTAACATTCTCCCGTCTCAACTGTCCTGAAAGGTGCCGGAGATCTGAATGAAAAGCCCAGGAAATGCTTTCCTTTCCAGAAATGAAGGAGAATTTTCTCTCCTCCTTTGGAAGACACACCCCACTGTAGGACTGGAGGTAGAAATTCTAACGTTATGTTTTCTTTCTCAAACCACTCAGGTAACTGCCAAACAGTCATAGAGACTGAGCAATGACCCAAGATGTTTCATAAAACCAGTAGAATGAACTGGGATTCTTGATAAAAGAGATGCAGACTTTGCAAGAAGCCATTCTCATTTAATTCTGCCTCCACTAACAGAGCTAGTGGGAACAGGCAGGGCAGGGTTCCAAAGACAATAAACTGCTGACTAAATGTCGTACTCTGCATTTTGTCTTCCCTATACCATTCTAACCCCAAGGAAATTTGCTTCAACAGATCTCTTGAGGAGGAATGGGTACAAAGACTGTAACATGGAGACCAAAAAACCCATTAAGCAAACGAACATATACATTGTATTGTGTGTTCTAGAAAACAAGTATCCTCTCACTCAGCAATATGATTCTAGTGTTATTATTAAAGATTGGAAGTGGAGTCACCACACTTATTATGGTTTATACTTACAATGTAACATATTTGATCCAAACTGAAAGTTCTATAGGTAATATAGGCAAAGACCTGCTGGTATAGATAGGTATAATCACACTTCTTTCAGCTACGCTGGGCTAAACACATGGTTTCTTACTCCTTATTTTCATAGTAACAAGCAGGAAATGAGGACTACTAAACAAATCCTTCTCCCTTCCAAATAGTATTTGGCTTTTGAGTTTAGTCAGAAAGTTACATGAAAAGAAAGAACATGGAGCGTTAAGAACAGCTCAAAAAGTTCACCAATGATTCAGATGTGAGACACTAAAGCATTAGCTACAAGAACTCTATAACCAAGTGACAGATTTCTCCTACCTGGAACAGCTGCTTAGCAGAGTCTTCAGGGCAGATTCAGAAAATCCCCAACACCCAGAGAGGTTTAGTCGCACTAAGTTTGAGTTCTGTGCAAGCTGACTAGAAAAAAGAAAAATGCCAGAGGAACAGTGAGAAAGCATTTTTATTTGATCAACACTTACTCAGAGAAATACAGGCTAAAACTAAGTTGCTGACAGGAGAATCAAGTTTAAAACTTATATTTCATTATCACTGTGACATCAAAGGGGGGTGCTTTCCCTCAGTTTACTCATCTTTGAAATGAAACAGTGTATCAAATGAGGGCTGTTAATGAGATTAAAATGATACAATGCAATGGAAGACTTGGCATAGCACAGCACAGAATTAAGTGCATAAGAAATATTGATTCATGTGCCCTTTATTAAAAAAAGACACTGGAAATAATTTTGCCCACAATTTATTTATTTGATTTATTTTTATTTTTTTTTTGGGGGGTCCGGTCGTGGGGCCTAAACTCTGGGTCTGGGCGCTATCCCTCAGCTCTTCACCTCAAGGCTAGCCCTCTACCACTTGAGCCACAGCACCACTTCCGTTTTTTTTCTTTTTGCTTATGTGGTGCTGAGGAATCGAACCCAGGGCCTCATGCATGCAAGGCAAGCGCTCTACCATTGAGCCATCTTCCCAGCCCCGTTGCCCATAAGTTTAAAGTCACAAGGTTCATTTTAGTTATGTATTTCTCATCTGTAATATTCTTAATTTTCCTTTGTAGAGAAGCTTAGATATTAAGAGCCATTATTCTGAGATGGTTTCTTCAGCGTCAACCAGAGCCTGGACTTCTCTGGTCTGCCATATAGGCTCAGTATAACGTGGCCTGCCTCTCTTCACCCCTGAGTCCCATACTACAGCAAACTTCCAGCTACTTCTCAGTTTAGAAACAAGATTCCAACTGCTTCTTTTATCTTGGGAGATCTCTGAAGTGACTATTTTTAATACCTTTGCTTACTAGTCACTTCCTCTGAGAAGGCTATCCTCCCTAAATTTAATTAGGCCTCCTGCGTGTTGCCACACAATCACTAACGCATTTAACAAACATACTGGACTCTAATTATCTGCCTCACTCATGACTGAGGCGTGGGCCACACAGTTCAGCCTTCTTTCTCTACAGGCCTACCACAGAATCTGGTGTAGAGTCCAACTTTTATTGCCTGAATGAGTCTGGAAAGTTCTGCAAAAGTTGGAGGCTATAAGATATATTTTCCATGTCTATCTGGATAGTCATACGTAGAGAACAAAATAACACACATAAAACAACTGTCTCATGCTCTGGCTGCCACTCACTTGACAATGGGATCCGAAAGCTGCAGGCTTTCCAAGCTTAAATTCTGTAACTTGAAGCACTCAGACAGAATACCATGAAGAGCTGACACATTTATAACTGAGTTCGACAAATCCATGTGCTGTACACGAAAAGAGCTGAATAAGGAGGGGGAAAAAAAGCTCATATAAGAACAACCAGATCAAATCTGACTCCCTCCTCCCCCCAAATGAGCAACCAATCACTAACAAGACTCTACATACACAGACTTGCTGGTAGTGAATTCCCATTCTCATCCATTTTTAAAATTCAAGTGAGGATGTTGTTTCCAACATCGACCCAACTAGAAAACTACTGAGCACATTATGAGACAAGGAGATTAAGCCATGACACCTGGTTTCTGACAGGGTGAGTCGGTAGCGAAAGTGGTATTTTCTAAACTGAAGACAGTGAAAGCGAGGGAGGCCAAGTTTTATTTTAGATATGCTAACATTGAGGTACCTGGAACAGTTTCACGTGTGGAAGACTGTAGGTAAAAGAAATAGGAGTTCTGAAGACAGGGCTGATTTACACATTAAGATTTGAGGCTTCTGAGTAGAGGTGGGTGTACAGTACATACTTTGAGATCAGCATGTGCATTAAGAAGAAAAGAAGCCAGAAACAAATCCTGATGTGAACAAAAGAAATCACACACAGGGAGAGTCAGAAGGAATGATGGGACCGGTAGTTTTTTCAAATTGTTATTATAAAGGTGATGTTCAGAGGAGTTACTGTTTTGTAAGTCAGGTAATAAATACATTTCTTTTGTCTGATGTCTTCAACTTATTTTTCTCTTCCTTATCTAGTACTACTCAAGTATTAGCACTCTTCCTTAGTACTGAGTAATTTCCAACACCACAGAAACATTTTTAGTTCATAAAGATGGGGTAGAATGATGAACGATGAAAGGGGTGATACTGGGTTCATTATGACATATTGAGTTGAAACTCCTTTGTAAAACTTCTTTGTACAACTACTTAAAAACAGTAACAACATGAAGGCATATTTTAGGTTGCACATTGGTCCACACTAGGACAGAAAATCACACTACAAATCTGGAAATACCCTTCCCACTGATTAATCAGAAACAAAAGAATATGGCAGTCTGGCTCTGCTTGTGAGTCACTGTCCTCATGTGCTGAGCACCCAGCTATGGTACTGGGGATTCAACCTGAGGCCTTATGGATGTTATGTAAGCATTCTACTACTGAGCTCTGCCCCCAATCCTCAGATACACCAGGAAGAGCACCATAGTAACCCTGAGTTAAAATGGGAACAGTGTCACCAAAACCTGTGCCCTGTTTCAACCTAATGGCCATATGGCATCATATGTAACTAATACCCATACTGCGAAGATGGCCTGTGGCAGACTGAATAAAGAAGAAAAAAAGAGTTGATCTAAATCTACCTTGAGATTTAGAAACTTTTCTAGGGTATTTTCTTCTTTACCTGAAATGTTCAACCAATGGTTGCTCCATAAATGATCGTTGGCAACGAAAAGCAATTACCCCTCGAGACAGCAACCGAGCAGTGACATCCGGGTGCAGATTTCTACCTGTGAGGTCTAAAGACTGCCAGAGAGACTCATCAAACCTAGAAAAAAGGGAAGAACCTGATTCAGTAAGTCAGTTACGGTGATCGCTGGAATCCTCAAATCTGGACCAACAGGATATAGCCACTAAATCCCCTGGAAGCAAATTCTGCAGGAACTTTTGTTTCAAAGTAGACTGCAACCAGCTTTACTTTAAAGAAACTACTGTTTTTTTTTAATTGTAACATGGATAACCTTCCCTCTTTCTTTACTTATTTCCAAATTAGATGGCCTAAAGTTAAAATTAGTACTGCCAATGGTCAGAGAATAAAATTCCAGAATTCAGCTTAACTGAGACATTTAAAATGTCTATTCAAACTGCTTAACTAATTATTACTATGTAAGTAGATGTGAAAGTTCTTCAATGATTCTATTTGCTACTTGTGTTAGGCACAGAATTCTCAATTACTCAAAATGACACAAAAAGGGAAAGACAGCAGCATTTTATTGGATCTACAGCTGTCATAGATAAAAAAAAAAATCACTCGTCAGCTATGCTTTGGTCACATGACTTTGTGTTTGTCTAAATGTGAAAGGAAGAGGGAAAAACAGTAGATTCTGGACAAATGTTTCTCAATAAAGTACACAAAAAGGGAGGTTCCAAAATTGGATTGAGTAACACAAGAGTTTAACATCTACATATTAATTCAAATAGAAAAAGAGTAACCAGAAGTATAAACTCATGAACAAACAGTCTAAACGCTTAGGTATTCTAAAATGTTTTAACAGTGCTTGATAGAAATGCTCTCATTGGCAGCTGGGTTTTTAAATAATATGCTATATAGAAATTGTCAATATATGATTTGACCCTTATTACTAAAAATGTAGACTGGAGATAAGGTATTTTTAAGAGAGCGATCTTCTTTAGAGAAAATGAGAGCATTATCATGCTCTGGTTATCTCAGATCTCATGGCTCTTGTTTCTACTTGAAAGGATGAAAACACAGTGTGCCCATCATTCTGTAATAATCTGGAACAAGTTTTGTAACATTCACCTTGTTCTTAAAAAAGCATGCATCTTGGGCTGGGAAGGTGGCTCAGGGTAGAGTGCTTGCCTTGCATGCATGAGGCCCTGGGTTCAATTCCTCAGCACCACATAAGCAGAAAATGCTGGAAGTGGCGCTGTGGAAAGCTGAAAGTGGCGCTGTGCCTAAGTGGTAGATCTGAAGAGCTGAGGGGCAGCGCCCAGGCCCAGAGTTCAGGTCCCACAACTGACTCCCCCTCTCCCCACCCCCCACTGAAAACAAAAACAAACACCTGTATCTTTAAGATACACAGGAAGACAAATTGAGCTATCCAAGCCAAATGTAACAAGACATGGTTGAGGATGTAGAGTTAACCAGACATTTGACTTCTACTTTACCATTCATTTCCTAATTTACTTCTGACCCTCTGGTTTCTTCATCTCTTAAACTGAGAACATATGCATATTTAAGACCCCATTAAGGAACAAACTGATAATAGCCCCTGGCACAAAGTGCTTTAAAAGTGCCTGCTACTAAGGGTAAACAAAGGAGGAGGCTGCAATGCTTGGTAAGAAATGTACGCATTATCCTGCCCATGTAATTGTAACTCCTCTGTACAGCATGTTCACAAATAAAATAAAATTTTAAAAAAAAAGTGCTGCTACTACTTTAATGACAACTGAGGTGAAGATTAAGGGGATTTGGGAGGAGACTCTGGCCAAAGGATGCAAAGCAGCACTTATGGAGGATGGGCAGCTAATGTTCTATGTGAGAACTAGCAGTGAATACACTGTTCTTCATTTTGGTAAATGAGTGTATTCTACCTACTTTAGCCACACACACACACATACACAAACATACATACAGACACACATACATACACACACAAACACACACACAAAAGGTAACTATATGAGATGAAGAGAATGCTAATTTTCTTGAATATGGTAACCATTTTTACTACCTCTATTGTGTCAAAAGATCATGTAACTATAAATACATACAAAAGGATCTTTTTAAAAAAACAGATTGAAGACTAACGCATAGTTAGTGGAAAAAGAAATTCAAAATGGTCTTTTGGATGTGGCTGCGACACTTAGCCACTATTACGACAGTCAATAACACTGCCAAACCTCCTTGCCTTCCAGACAACCTGATGGCAACTATCTGTGGTGTTATTTCCAAGGCAGGCAGCTTCTGTTGCCTCACAGGGGAGTTCTAGATGTACGGAGAGAAGACATGATAGACTGTCTCCAAACACATAGTAAAGTCGGGGCAGCCGCCTAAGGAAGGGGGATGATTGGGGAAGGTTGGAAAGGAGAGAAAGTTCCATATGAAAAACAGAATCTTGGGGCTAGTGAGGTAACTCAGTCTAGAGTGTTTGCCTAGAATGCATGAGGTACTAGGTTTGATCCTCTGCACTAAAGAGGAAAAAAATGAAAGTCAACTTTTTCTTGCTTCAGCCCTGTTACTGCTTTCTCAGGTCACCATCCATGCTGCTGAAAAAAACACCAGCTGATATATAGGCAAACAAAATGATGTAAGTTTATACTAATAGAAGACCCTGTCTCCCACTGTGAAATGAGGACTTGAATAAAAAGAGGAAGATATCTAGTTTCTCTGGAGATGCTGTATTCACCAGACTAAAATGAATATGTACCTTTCCTTTTCCCTACCACCAAATCAGGTAAAAATACTCACGCAAGGCAATACCATCTCTTACAAACCCCAGAGACTCTCAACAGCTCAGGGAGGCACAAACAGTGGAAGATCCCCAGGAGCAGCTCATCAGGAAGACAGTCCCAGGAAACACCTGAGAAGAGACAAAGAAGTAAAGTTGCCCACCACCATTCTTCCCTGTCAGGTCTACTGAGTCTCTCCCAGTACAGGAAGAACATCTAATTGTTCACTTAAAGGGGGCTTAACACAAACCGAATTCTTCATCCTCACAGTTATTTTTTCCACATGACCCACTTTCTCTTCACTCTCAAGTGAACATCATCTTTTGTCAGCAGTGAGAAATGAAAAGTTGGAATATTTTTTCTATCATTCTTCCTTTCAGCTCCGACTGCCAACTGTGGGCAAGGAGAAAAAGGCAGTAAGATCACAAATTCGAGGCCAGTCTGGGCTACACAGTAAAACCTACCTTTAAAAAAATGAATACAAGCCAGGTGCTGGTGGCTCACGCCTGTAATCCTAGCTACTCAGGAGGCTGAGATCTGAGGACCATGGTTTGAAGCCAGCTGGAGCAGGAGAGTCGTGAGACTTTTATCTCTAGTTAACCACTAGAAAACCAGAAGTAGAGCTCTGCCTTGAGCAAAAAAGCTCAGGGACAGTGCCCAGGACCTAAATTTAAGCTCCACCATGGACAAACAAAACACCAAAAAACAAAGAAAAAAAACTTGCATCTTCATAGAGCACAGATTCTAGTGAGTGGGATTGGTAACACAAAATATAAATATTACGTAGTATGTTGAAATGTATAAGTGCTATGCAAAAATAGTTCACCCAGGTAAGGGTGATACTATGGGTCAGAGACAGGTATTACATTTGCACTCAGTTAAGGCAAAGCCCTGACTGAGACTGTTTCACTGAGACTGATCACTGAACCAAGTGACAGAATGAGCCCTGTGAGCATCTGGGTGCATTCCATGAGATGGGTCTCATCTGAGGAACTGCTTGAGAGGGTAATGATAAAACGAGAATTAGTCTGGTATTAGGGCTGGTGTCATGGAAGCTTTCTATGTAACAGTGAGGCTCTAGGCTTTGGTTCCAATCTTAACAAGGAACTACTAAAGAATTCAGATTGTAGAGATGTCAAGATTTCACTTAAGTTTTAAAAGGCTCCCCCTGGCTATTGTAAATTTAGAGAAAGGTGGACACAGAAAGACCAGTGATCTTTGTCTTGTTAAAGTAATCTATAGAGATGCTAAGTCTGGTGATAAGCTCTGACTCTTGCCCATTAAAAACTACTAGAATTTACAGAGCAGATACATTGTGCCAGGAATTATGTAAAGGAAAATGAAGGTACTATAAAAAAAAACATTGAAGAAAGTAACAAATATTACAGCTATTGTCTTGGCAGCATCCCTGAACAGTCTAAGATAATTGTTTCCTTCCCTCAATTAAAACCCTTCAATGAAACCTTCAAAGATTTAACCTAAGTCCACACTGTTTAGCATGACATCTAAAGCTTTCATGCTAGAGCCCAATTCATTTTTTTCTGGATTCCTTTTCTACAAATGTGTTCCAGTAATGTGGAGCTTTCTGTAATTTTTTAGAATAGTCATTTTGCTTCACATCTCAATAGTCTATGTGCTACGCTTTCCTCTGGCTGCTGTTCTTTTAAAAATCAAAGTATTAAAAAGTCCTACTCCTACAAAGGTCTCTTAGGACATGACAAAATACAGTCACTTCAGTGCCGTGATTCCATTATTTACTGAGTAGGCCCCTACTTGTCCATAAGTGCTTAAGAATCTGATTAAAAAAAATCATTCCTTGTATTTCTAGGAACTAAAATCTGGTCCATTCATTTATTCATCCAACATGTTCAATATGCTGATGGCCTGTTCTAAGGATGCAAGGATAAACAGAGAAGTGCTGATCTTCACTCTTCTCAGAGCTTGAGGACAGATAAGAAATTTCAATGAAGTGCCATAACAAGCTATGAGAACACACAGGGAAGAAGTGGTCACAGGGCCTTTCTGCAGCTAGTGGCCCCTACTTAAAAAGGAGCAGAAAACAGCCACTTGCTACATCAATGCCTGACCCTCTTTTAGAGGACAAAATTAAAGCACCAACTGAGGCCCTGAGAGTTGCATGCACAATGAAGATGGTAGATCATGCATGCTAACCACATCCTTCAACCTGGGAAGGCAGCTTGGAGGTTATGCCAAGGCTCCTCAGAATGGCAAACTTTCTGGACTAGTCACCCCATGTCTATAGAATCTAAGGTGACAGTGGCTTTTTAAATTGGGTCCCTGCCTGTCCCCCAAATCAAAGTCAAAAGATAGGCTTTTCTCAAGCTCTTCTTTAACTTTCTCATCTCTGCAGTGTGATTTACCCAGACCCTATATCTACCCCCATCTAAGCCTGAGATTGCCAGAAGCAGGTTCTGAAGCTCTGACTTCCAACTAGTTTATCTGGAAAGTCAGAAAGTACTAAAAAAAAAAAAAAAAGTAAACAGAGACATTGAAGGGAACAAGTCAGGTTGAGTCATGTTTAATAAGCAGGTTGTTGTACTGAGTAACCAGGGGTTCAAATCTTCCGAAGCCTTCAGGAGACTATCTGGAACCTGTCACAGCTATTCCACCTCAGGGCATGCTGCTGATAACTGAATCTATCAGTGTCTGTCAGTCATTGACTGTGAATTCAAACAAGGTTAACTCCCCAGCATTCCCGTCTGGAGAAAGCTCCCAAGCAGTCACTTCTGTGTACAGAACAAACACCTTAAGCATTGAGGGTAAGGTGCACTTCCAGGGCCACTGATGAAACACCCCACCACCTCCACAGGTAGGAAAGGAAATTAGAAAAGCTTGCTGAGATATGGCAGGGCAGCAGAGGCACAAATGACATAAACGAACAAATTTAGTACTTTTTTACTGGGAAGAAATAAGGAAAAAAATAGAAGAGCAGCAGGAAAAAGGTAAAATGCTAGTGATGAATGCAGAAGCCAACAAACTCAGGCAAGAGCCACGCAGAAGAGTCCACAGTCAGGAGGGCTTGTGCAGCAACATGTCTTTACCTGCCCAACTCCTACTTTCCCCCCACATTTCAGCTGAAAGAGCACTTGCTCTAATAAGCATTACCAGGTCACCAGTAAAGCCCTATGCCCAGGTTTACATACCCAGTGATGTGTAATTCCTGACATATAACTAGTTTTCAAAAAATATTTGTTACATGCATTATGCTTTTTAACTCACTTTTTCACAAACATTGAATGTGCTAACTGCCTTAGTGTAAATGGCTAACCATCATTGACCAATTTACTACAGGAATGATGCCTACAACAGAAACTAGCACTGAATGTAAGAAATTACCCAATGGATGTATAAAGGAATGATAAAAACCCTAGAGAAGAATGCTGACCTTTTATCAGAAACATATGCAAGACTACTGGCCTCTCAGGACCAGTATTGTCACTGACCTCTTATTCCACTTGCGACACTTCATGGGTGCCTGAAAAATGTAGTAGAGCTGGAAGCTAAGGTGTAAGCCTTAGGCCTTACCCAATGATCTCACTGGGAGATGGACTATTAAATAAATATTTAACAATAGAAATCGCCATCTATTGGATGCTCTAAAAATTATCAGCATTTATTAAAGCACAAAGATACTAATCTATGCAACAACTTGAATACTAATTATTAGTATTCCTATTTTAAACCTAATGACAGTTACCTTAGTGGAGTTAAACAACTTTTACCAATGTGACATCAACTCAAATTGGGTAGCAATGCCAAAAGACAAACTTGGGTTTCCAAACTCCATGCCTCAAATTGAGGTTGCAGATTCACAAGACTTGAGTTTGATGGCTTATCTGATAGCAGAAGACACTGCCAAGAAGATCCTACCACTCTTGGCATATAGAGGGGATGAAACAGCCTTTGGGAGAAGGGGAAAGGAACTTCAAGAGAAGATAGTATATGACAAAAGGGAGGAGTCTAGTGAACATGAGGCAGAGTAGAAACTCAAATCCAAGTCTGACTGCAATGTGTATCCATGTTCTCTGTTCTTAGTGCTTGCTTATTGTGCAAGTTTAGAAAAGCTGGCAAGAAATCCAGACTTAACTCCGGAATCATCAGATAGCAAGTGAGTGATGGAGGGAAAAGTAAGTAAAATAAAGATGTTGGGAGCTATCAGTGGGCTCACCATCAAATGGGAGGAACAATGGCCCAGGACATGCACAGCCTCAGCTATAAGCAAAGTGTGCAGAGCTCCATTCAGCCATCTATACAGGGGAATCCAACTTGTAGGGGTCCTGAATGAAGCTAAATCAATCTGGAACTGGTTGTTATCCCAGCAGAGGGGACAGAACCTTCTTTAATAGCTGTGATAGTGGCTGGTATTCAGGCAGGTATATACTGAATCCAATTTTACTTGCCATATCTAATTCTCAGAACATCAGCCATCAGTTTCCTGGATTCTTGACTATATTGCTGCCTAGTTTGTCTGCAGAGAAGGAAAAATCGAGGTCTTTCCTCTACTTGCTTTGGTGAAATCACCAAAACTGCACACCAGCACACCTGAAGGGAAATAATGATTAAGCTCAAGGGCTTTAGTGTCCCAACAGGAAAGCAAAGCACTGAAACATGTGTGTTTCAGAAAGGGAAAATTGGCCATATACTGGGCTTGCTAGTGGTCATACTCACCCAACCAGCACTGCTTCTAATTCCTCCTGAGACAAACCCAGCTTCTCACCTCTGTAACCCACCACTTCCCATGCCTCTCACACTCTTCTGGAAAGGAACATTTTCCACTATTTGATCCTCCCATCAGTGTTAACTCACCTATGTGACTAGTTGTTTCTTCTCAGAACATCACCTATTGCACTCAGATTCAAATTGCTAATCCTAATATATCCCATTTTGACTTTTAAAACTGGTCCTGGGCTTTTAGTCTCAGCCTCTAGGAGGCAAAGGCAGGAGAAATGTGAGTCTTAGCCTTTGCTTCCTGGACTCCATAGTAAGACCCTATCTCAAAAACAAAGTAAAATGAGAATAAATTATTCTTGTAGGTATCAAAAATCAAATCATACTTGCAGGAGGAGGCCCTGAGGTCTTGCTACTCATTGTTTTGTCTTTACTTTTTAAG